ACTATCTGATCTGCAAAAGACATTGTCAAGAGAATGAAAAGACAAGCAACCGACTGGGAGAAAATATTTACAAAAGAGATATCTGGTAAAGTACAGTTACCCAAAATATATAAAGAACTCTTAAAAATCAACAATAAGAAACAAACAACTAGATTTAAAAATTGGTCAAAGACCTTAACAGATTCATTACCAAAAAAGATACAGAGATGAAAATAAGCATATGAAAAGATGTTCCACATAATATGTCATTAGGGATATGCAAATTAAAGCAAGGAGAGACCACTATATTTCTACTAGAATGGGTAAAATTCAGAGTACTGATAATATCAAATACTGTCAAAGATATGAAGCCACTGGAATTCTTCCATTGTTGGTAAGAATTGCCACTTTGGAAGACAGTTTGGTAGTTCTTTCAAAACTGACATACTCTTACCATAAAACCTATCAACCACACTCACTGATATTGACCAAGAGGAGTTGAAAACATGTTCACACAAAAAGTCTACACATGAATGTTTATATAAGCTTTATTCATAACTGTTAAAACTAAGAAGCAATCAAGATGACCTTCAGTAGATGAATGAATAAACAAATTGTGGCACATCCCACGGACTATTATTCAGTACTAAAAATAAATGAGCTATCAAATCATAAAAAGACATAGACTAAATATAAATGCATATTACTAAGTGAAAGAAGTCAATGTAAAAAGGCTAAAAATGTGTATGATTCCAAGTATATGACATTATAGAAAAGATAAAACGATGGAGACAATAAAAATATCAGGAGTAGGGGCCAGCAGGTGGCATGGTGGTTAAGGTGCTGGACACTCCCACATGGCTGATAGTGGTTCAAGTCCCATCTGATGGCTTGCTTTCTCACTTTCCCTTTCTCTCTCTCTGTCAAGTTAAAATAAATAAATGAATAAATAAATAATAATAAATAAATAATAATAATTTTTTTTAAAGATCAGTAGTTGCTAGACCTTAGATGGGGAAAGAGAATACAAAGCACAGAACAAAGGATTTTTAGGACAGTGAAACTATTCTGTATGATACTATATGCACGACTTCATGTCACGGTCCATTAGTGAAAACATACAGAATATGTAAGGACAGAAAAACCCTTATGGAAGATATGCACTTCCGGTGTTAATGATGTATTAAGGCTCATCAACCACAACAAATGTATTCTGGTGGAGATTTTGATAATGAGGGAGGTTATGTATGTGTGAGGGCTGAGAGTCTTTGGGAAAACTGTCAATTTTGCTGTGAACCTAAAACTGCTCTAAAAAGATAAAGTCTAATCTTAAATAATAATAATAATGGAATGAGAACAGTACAACTACAGAATGCTTGTTTGCAAAGCAACCACCACGTTGATTGTTAATATTGTTATTAAACTTAAAATCATCCTTGAAGAGTAGCCATTGTATTTTGTGGGAAGGAGGGAGACTAAAAACACTCTGTTTACCTCAACCTAGCTCACTGAAGTTCTACACTGGGGTAGTAGAAAGTTTGCTTGCCAGTCTTTGTCATCTATGCATATTTCCCTCTGACTTTCTTAAGCCATTAGGATCATGGCCACGGGTATTTCTATATCATTCAGACTATATCTCAATACAGCCCCATCTCTTTAATTTTTTCTTTTTTTTTTTTGGAGAGGTTTTTGCTATAGGGCACATGTGCTGGCCAGACAGACAGAGAGACAGAAAGCGAGAAATTACCCCCCAGGGGAGGTGGCCACACCGCAATCCCTTCTCCTCCCTTCTCCTCTCTGGATCTTGGGCACGCACGCACACACGCCCGGCATGAGTTTAAGCCACCAGGTCTGGGACTTGAAGCGTGGTTGACTACGTGGGAGTCCAGCAACATAGCCATTACGCTAACTGCTGGTCCCCCCATCTCTTTAATTTTCACCAGAATTTCTAGAAAGAGCAACAAGACCTGATACAACCTTGACCACATGTCTATGACCTTGGAGTTCTCTCACTAGGATCCTAAATAGTACCATTACCATGCTGGCCTTCAAGGCCAACCTCCCCTTAAAGCTCTGGCCAAAGGACATGCACAAAGCCTTTCTTTATGTTCCCCTAGAACTACTGAGGCAGTCGGCACTTCTAAACAAAGGGGAGTAAACACACAGGAGAAGTAAACCCTAACAACAGCCTGATCTGTGCAGGAAAGGATCATGATCCTACCACAATTATCCACTCTAAGGGCTCTAAGGCCATGGCTGTCCCAGGTCCTGTCTCCCACAGCACCAACCATGCCAGAGAAAATAGGCCTGGTTAGCATCATAGCAGCCAGCAATAAATAATTGTGTTAAAGAAGGAATAAATACAATAATTTCTCCTACTGCTTAAGACTGGAAGTGAAGAGACTGACTCAGTGCTCTGATACAGCTCTTGATCAGTTCTGATTTTTTTTTTTTTTTTTTGAGAGGTTTTCACTATAGGGCACGTGCGCTCGCCAGACAGACAGAGAGAGACATAGAGACAGAAAGCGAGAAATCACCCCCCAGGGGGGATGGTCACGCCGCAATCCCTTCTCCTCCATTCTCCTCTCGGGATCTTGGGCACGCATGCACATGCACCCGGCATGAATTTTAAGCCACCGGGTCCGGGACGCGAACCGCAGTCGACTACGTGGGAGTCCAGCAACATAGCCATTACGCTAACTGCTGCTTCCCAGATCAGTTCTGATTTTGAGGACATCATCAGGAGAGCCTCTACTGATCAAGCTTCAGCACTAGTTTTTCTCTGCTGTTCAGTTTCCAACACAGAAAACTTTAAAATACATTAAATTGGGAATAATAATCAACTAAATAAACAACCCACTGGAGATGTGACTGCTCCAAGAGAAAGGTAACATCTTCAAACTCACGTAATGTCACTGAGGCAAAAAGAAAGGCCTATACACAAAACAAAACAAAATTTAGCAATAGCTAGTATTTATTGAGCCTTCTTAGTGCCAGGAAGTATGATAGGCACATCGTTTATATTATTTTATTTCATCTTTATAACAAAATAAGAATTACCATCTCCATTTCAAAGAGTTTAAAAATATTTTTGGAGAAGTGTTTTGGCCACAAAACAAGTGTTTTGGGCACTTGTATAAGAGATTAAAAGCATGAACTTTGGAGCCAGAATGACTAACTTCACAGGCACTGGGTTTAGTGCTTTCACATACTTTGCCTCTTTTAATCTTCTTAAGTACCTCTTATGTAACCGGGCCACAAGAGAGCCAAAGCGGCTCTATATAGTACTTATTCTTGGAGTACATCTTAATAGATTAAACATTAGGGAAATCATTCTTTAACTTTTATCTTTCACTTCACTATGAGTCTTACAGAACCTAACCTTTTACCTCCCTCACAGTAGATGGAGTCTAATGTGGAACTACGGAAGTTGGCAGTGACCTGGCTGAGTCTTTGAAGATATCTGGCTATGGAAATAGGGAGAGGAAAGACTCTACCAGCCCCCTTGTATATGATTGGCTGAGAAGATTTTAGTAGCTCAAGCATTACAAAGCCACACCTAAGTTCTAAACCAGGCTCTAAGAATTGTCTTGGCTGATCCCATTTTATTTCCGCTGTCTTGTTAATTATGGCAAGGCCCCCCTGTAGAGAACAGCAAAGGTCATTCTAGCTTGTTCTACCCTCAGAAGAGAAACTGCCTCCCAAGAAGTAGTCTCTATGTAATCTTGCCGAAGATAAAGACCAGGGCTTCTCCTCATTTTGGCCCAAGACAATGAATAACTTTGTCCTTTGATTTTTAGATGTATCTTTCATTGACCTCTTCCCCTATATAAATTTTCTATGTTGTCCAGTACAGCAGAGATGTTTATGGACTCTGATGTACTCTCTCCCCGGAGCTGGCCTCACCTAATAAATCCCTTTCCTTACTCACCACTTTTGTCTCTTTGTCAAAGCAATGAGTGGCATGGCATGATTCGTGGTCCTTGGATTGAGCATCCCTGCCCATTCCAATATCACTGAGATGCTTTACATTCTTGAATTGTTTTTTCTCTCACAATTGACATCAAGAAAGGCATTCTGTATTACTATGCCCACTATCCTAAAAGGTTAGGTAAATACTCCAGCCAGTGCAACCTTAAGTTGAAAGAAAAATATTTTAACATAAACCTCTCCAGAACTAAACATGTACTTCTCTAAAATCTATTAAATTCATTCACATCATTGCATATGTGTTATCAGGAATTAACAAAATTTAAGTGTGTGTGTGTATGAAGATTAAGATTTCAAATGTTCTATTGTTTTGTATTTCTAAACTATCAATAAAACATGAAATTTTAAAGTTATTAAGTGCTTATTTTGTGTTTGACACTCGGAAGTAAGTACTTTCACATAAATATCTCATTTTACCCTCCAGATATACCACACTCATAGGTATGATTATCTTCTTTGCACAAATATGTCCAAGGTCACATATAAAATGACAGAACTGAGAATTGAAACTGATTCTTTCTGAGTCCCAGAGCTCATATTTTAACCAATTCACCACAGGTTATAACTGAGGTTCCTTCTCCACAGCAAATGCTGGGAGAATGAAGTTTAGTAAAAACATAAACTAAGATAGGCACATATTCCTTCACGGCGAAGGGCTTCGATAATGAAAGAGCTGAATCTAGTAGAGTATCTTTGACCTTGCTTTCAGAATGACTTGTAAGCCATGGGGAAATTCTCAGGTTCTGTCACCGGGTCTCAGGAACCTCTCCAATTCTATATCCTGTCAAGGATCTCTCTCCAGTTTTAGTCTGGCCATTATGGAGGCAGAATAAATGAAAATTAAAAAAAAAAAAAAAAGAACTAAAGAAAGAAAGAAAAAGAAAAGAAAAGAAAAGAAAGAAAAACCCACTTTATTCTGAGGTATCCCTGCTGTGCAAAGCCAAGTCATGCTCTGGGTGGGGGAGGGTAGCACCTTTGGAAAAATAGTTATTTTTTAAAGAAACAATGCAGAAAGAAAACAAAAAACATACCTTTTGCTTGGTGCTTGATTTCAGGCCAACTCGGGAATGACTTTTGGACTAGAGGGAAAATGAGAAAGAAATCTATGAAGAACACAGCATAACTCATTGGGAAGTCAATTCTCAAAGATTTAAATTTTAAGTTAAACTCCTTTCCCCTAACCTCTAGAAATCTAAGAACAGAAAGGCAGCACAGGCTCCAGGGTTGATTTTACACACTGAACAGAAGACTGGATAAGCCCTAGAGCTGAGAAGGCAAAGATGAGCCTACACTTTGTCAATGCCTGATTTGTATTTACCAATTCAGCATCTTTGCTTCCAGGACGCTGGCAAAAACTGAAAACTGCAGCACACGAGGACACACTCACAGCTAATACAATAAGGCAAAGGGAAAGATGGAGAAAATGAACACAGGAGGCAAAGAAGAAAGAAAAGAAGGAAGAAACAAATGCCCTCCAAACTGGAAAGAGAAAACAAGTGCAGAATGAAGAAGGAAGCAGGTTTATGGCAAGATCTTCAGGGCAGATTTTAATCTCTGCTAACTTAAATAAATCTTAATTAGATTGAAACAAAGCTCTCCAACACATTACTCCTTACATAGCTTTTTTTTTTTTTCTTCCAGTTTGTTTATGACTATCTAAACTGATTTGGGATTAGGAAAGGTAAAGCAGGCATTAAACTATGCATGAGAATATTTGGGTGTAGAATAGTATTACAAATTTGCTCCCAATGAGAAAACAACAAAAGTCGAGCTTACTATATTTAGTATTCAGATAATGAATATATTTGGCTTTAAGCAGACCATGAATCAAAGTTAACTCTAAACCAATCAGTACCACATAGCTAGAAAAATGTCTTCCCAAGTCAGCAATCTTCAGACTTCTTGGTCTCAGGATCTTTTTACACTCATAAAAAAAAAAAAAAAATATTGAGGCTCCCCAAAAGCTTTTGTTTATATAAGTTGTATATATTGATATTAACCCATTAGAAATTAGAACTAAAACTGGTTTTTTTTTTAAGAGTTTTTTACTAGAGGGCATGTGTACTCAAGCAGAGAGACAGAGACAAAAAGTGAGAAATCACTTCCCACCAGGGTGGGGGTGGCTGCACAGCAATCTCGTCTCCTCCATTCTTCTCCAGGGATTTTGTATGAAACACACAGGTGCCCTCATGAGTTTTGAGCCGCCAGGTCTAGGACTTGGACCACAGTCAGCCACATGGGAGTCCAGCGCTTTAACCACCTTGTGGCCTCAGGACTGAAACATTTTTAAAATATGTATTTATTAATGTTCAAAAAGCGATTATAACCCCATTAACATGTTTTTATGTACTTTATGTATGTGCCAGAATAGAAAAGAAAAAACAGTGAGAAGATGGCATTTATATTTTGCAAATCTCTTTAAAGGTTGGTTTAAATAGAAGATAACTAGATGCTCACATTTGCTTTTGCATTTAATCTGTTCAGATAGGTTTGTATTTGCAGTAAATTAAGAAAATTCGGCCTCACTCAGATATGTACTTGGAAAACGAAAGAGTACTATAATTATTCTTTCCGGGAATTATAGATACTCTTCCCTGATAATAATCCACAGATTGACAAGTGGTAATTCCTTAAGAGTTTGTTGCAATATAGTCTAAACATTTTACACTGTTATATAAAAATTTGCTAATCTATCTTGTCTTTTTTTGCATTGGTAGCATTATACATTGGTCATCCGGAAGACAATAGTTCAATGAAATTATACAGAGTTCCCAAATGCTGACACATTTCATTATATAATATCAAAAGAATCACGTTTGTTAGTCACCAACCTCACCAGAAAAATCTTCAGCTACTGTCAAGCTATTAAGCGTAACAGACACAAGTTTTCCAAAATTCTAATTTTTCCTTGAAAACTTGAATTTTATTATGGGCGTTCCTCATGGCCACAGGCTCATTTTTTCATTTTTACAAATATGTCTGCCAGCTACATAAGCCTGAATAATCACAGTTCATGTATCTCTTGTTCTTTTAAATCAAAATGGTCTTTCCAAAAACAGAAAAGAAAAAGAAAAAGAGGCTAGCACAACTCACAATTCACTCACACAAGTGCTTTTTCTCAAAATAGCCACTATTTGAATGCAGCAAAAGCACTTTAGATGTACTTCCCATTTCATCACACAGAATAGATGTGTACTTAAGGGTCGAGATTTAGTAACTTTAGAAGCTTTTGCCACTTCATCAAGGGCATTCTTAGGTGAATCAGGCGAATTTCCCACTGCAATGCAAATGCACCATGGTGAAGTTAGGATTACCAGCACACTTTGCAGTTAACTACCTTAAGTCATGCCAAAACACCAACGGTTCTAGACACCATTGCTCTTGCAAACTGTGCAAATGTCACTCAGTAAAAAGGCAAAGCACACCTTCATAATTACGAAAAGGGTTTTGATTTTTCATGTTACTTTTGAGATTCTCCCACCCCTTACTCGTTGATAGCAGTTGAACCAATAACAATTAGCCCCTCTTTCTTTCAAAGAAATGAGTCTTAGGTAGAACAGAGCTGGTGAAAAGCCAGTCGTGATTGCCCTATCTGCTTTCTGCCGTAGAGGAGAGAGACTAATCAGATGGTCAGATGATCAGAAACTGGGGTGAGGAAACAAACCATAAAAAATGAACAGTGTTCATCTTTCACCTATTCTCATAATGATTTCAGATTCATTTTAATTGTTATGAGTTAAACTGTTTTCCACCAAAACCCTTGGGTTGAAGTCTTAACCCCCACTACCTAGAATGTGACTACATGACTATATTTAAAGATAAAGCCTTTAAAGGGGTAAGTATGGTAAAAATGCAGTCATGTCGTAAGGCCCTAATACAATATGATCACTGTGCTAATAAGAGGAAGTCACTCAAATACAGATAACATAGAAACATTATGAAAGGAAGATCATGTGGAAACAAAGGTGTCTATCTATGAGACAAGAAGACAGGTCTCTGAACAAAATCAACCTGACTGATTGGGGACCGCTAGAATTGAGAAAATAAATTTCTGTTATTTAAGCTATTCAATTTGTAAAATTTTTATTATGGTAGTGCTAGCAAATTAATACACAGACCCTGACAAATCTATTCTCAGAGTCAAGAACCCAGAAAATGGAGGTCTAGCAAAACTAAGTCCTGAATCAAAAGGGGACATTATTATCCCATTCATTGTTAACCACATACATCCTTAAAAAGAATGTCTAGAGGGATCAGCAGTTAGCGTAATGGCTATGTCACTTTACTCCCATGTAGTCAACCGTGGTTCAAGTCCTGGACCCAGTGGCTTAAACTCACACCGGGCGCGTGTGTGTGCATGTCCAAGATCCTGAGGGGAGAAAGGAGGAGAAGGGATTGCAGCATGGCCATCCCCCCTGGGGGGTGATTTCTCACTTTCTGTTTCTCTCTGTCTTTCCAGAGAGCGCACGCGCCCTACAGCAAAAACCTCTCCAAAAAAAAAAAAGAATGCCTGGATCAGTGGCTCTCAAACTTGGAGTTCATATGTCATATGTCATTTAGGGGGCTATCACTATGCAGTCTCCCCAGCTCTGGCTCCAAAAATTCCAAGTCAGAAGATATAGGATGGTTCCCAGGAATGTGCATTTATTTATTTATTTATTTATTTGGAGAGGTTTTCGCTGTAGGGCGCGTGCGCTTGCCAGACAGACAGAGAGAGAGACATAGAGACAGAAAGCGAGAAATCACCCCCCCGGGGAGATGGTCACACCGCAATCCCTTTTCCTCTATTCTCCTCTCAGGATCTTGGGCACGCACGCACACGCACCCGGTGTGAGTTTTAAGTCACCGGGTCCGGGACGCAAACCGCGGTCAACCAAGTGGGAGTCCAGCAACATAGCCATTACGCTAACTGCTGGTTCCCTGCATTTATTTTTTAATGATTATTTTATTTTAACTTTATATATATGTGTGTGTGTGTGTGTGTGTGTGTGTGTGTATTAATTTGAGCAGAGAGACAGAGAGAAAGAAAGGGAAAGTAAGAAAGCAAGTCACCAGGGTCTGGGACTCAAACTATGGTTCGGCCATATGGGTGTCCAGTGCCTTACTGCCACTTGTCAGCCCCAGAATGCATGTAAACCAAGGAAATTCAAACAGAAACATGGTCTACAAACTATGATTTGAAAACCACTAGCATGACAAAGGCAATGATAACTTGGGATGAAAAAATAGGAAAATATTAGAAACTGGTGGTTATTTTTTCCTCTTTTCCTTTGAAGAATCTGAATAAATGAACCTTTTCTTCCTTTCACTTTAAAACACCTGTATTAAAATTCTTAATTTGAATGGCTCATGTAGGTGAGCCTTAAGAATGGAAACAGGTTGAATGTTGGCAAATGAAACTAGTATGAAAGCTGATCTGCAATAGTTCCTTACCTCTCAATGTAAAAACACAAATTCTGAGTTTATTTATTTTTTAGAAATGTAGGTAGGTTTTGTTACCATATAAAATGCCATAAACATCCATGAACATGACCTTTGTATACAATTCAAAGTTGTGATAGTTTGAAAAACAAGCCACATTTTATAAAGGGGACTCAAAGCCAATCCAATTCTAGAGAAATACCATTTTCATTGACATTAAAGGAGTTCTTAGGTCTCTTCTAGAAAATGTCTTACCTACACAGAATGGAGACTGGGTTTAGTAAAGATCACTTGTCTCATACATTCATACTATGCAGTTGGTCCCCTATGTACAAACTGGTGGCTTTCTAAAAACTTATTTCATGTGGTAGGTGTTAAAGACTAGAGCTTATTTTCCCCATGGAAATAATTTTACAGGCTACACCACAAAGCCTATTTAATCTCTAACATAATTGAAATGCTATCTGATTGCAACAAAAAGTAATATAATGGGGCCAGCAGGAGGCATGGTGGTTAAAGGCGCTGGATTCCCACATGGCTGACCACGGTTTGAGTCCTGGACCTAGCAGCTTTCTTTCTACCTTTCCGTTTCTTTCTCTCTCTGTCTCTCTCTGGCCAAATTAAATAATAACAATAACAATAATAATAATAATAAATG